AGTTTAATCAATTATAAGATACAAGGTGGTACTTATCCACCTACAGGCCGCTAAATATAGGAATCTCGGTAGTCTCCTTTAATTTTAAAAAGGGAAAACTTTAAAAGAGACGCCCACCCCTGTCCTCTGTCCTACAATTTATAAAGACTAAAAAGTTTCCACAAAACTTATCGGTAGATTTTCATTAACCGTTAGTACATTTTTCTTTAACTTCATCTTTCAAAAAAGTTTCCACAAACAAGAATTACAATGAATTGTTGAATCTTCTTTTTCAGATAAATTGAAGCTACCATCACCACCACGATTTAATTACTAACTAATAACGTTAACACTAGTCTTATGGAAGTCAAAGATTATTTGCGTTTTATGACGTAGATTCGTGTATAGGGAATAAAAGTAATTGTTTTTATGAAGCGACTTTTGGCCTATATATTTTCATGTTTGACAGATACAAGATTAGCAGAGAGAAATATCAACAGTCGAATGTTTTATTTTGTGATAGGCGCTTATATGTAGATGTAGAGTTGGCGATTTCCGAAATCGTCGTTATTTATTTATATATTTTTTTTTCTTTCATATATTCTTTCCAAATATTTTCGTTCGTTTTCTTGTTTTTGAAAACAAAAATGTATATTTGGAAAAACGAACAAAAAGCAAGCTTTCGCTTTTTTGCCATATTTATCTTTCTATTTTTTCTTGAATTCTAATTAACATGTGTTCCTTGTGCTTTTGAGATTTTCTTCGAATAAAGATTTTTTTTAAATATGTATATAATATAAAGCAATAACTTTTCAATTATGAAAAGGACTGGTAGTAAATGGCTTATATTGCGTTTCTGTTATCATTAGTTAATAGCAAGAACAGCAGTGAGCAGGCATATTCATGAAATTCTCATTTGTTAATAGTGTTGTTTCACAGATCTTAAAATCTTAAGATTTTGTTTCGTACAATTAGAAATAGAAAGTTGTGGAGAAAAGCTAGTATAATATTATATATTAGAAGGTCAATATTCAGTAACAGATTACCAGTAAGGCAGAGAAGTTACTGGCCTACGGGCTCCGCAGCGTTAATGGCCTCTTGATAAAAAAAAATCAGAATAATATTCAGTCTTGATAAATTTCATAACAAATCAGTTTAATCAAAGTTCTGCTTTAAAAGAACAATCTGTAGTAAAGAATCATCACATAAATTAACAAAAAATAGGTAAATTGTTATTATCTATGTTTTTTTAATTTATTTCCGAATACAACTAAAGTAAACAAACGTACGTTTAATTGCTTACAAAACTTGAAAATGTAGACAGTGTAGATTCACAATCGCATTTCTCGAGACTATATATTTTTTAGTATTTCTATTTTTACCTTAGATTGTTGCCTCCAGAAGGTTAAAACAGTTACTAATGCTACGAAACGATTAGCGATTTGGTAGAGTAAAAATGGTAAATAGATTAGTTTTTGATTAGGAAAATTTGCACAACTGTTAAAATACAACGAAAGTACATTGCCGATTGCTGTTTAGAGATAAATGCTTGCATTGTAAAAGTAATAGTTTTTACAAATCTATTAATAGTATCAACTTTTTAAATGATTACTGCTTGTTGATATTTCCGTCTAATAAATTAAAACTAATTGTTAAGATTTTGTCGAAACAGCTTGGCGTTGATCGCTATTTCGAATACCTAGATTGTTTTTTTTTTTATTAATTGCATTAGATATTAAGTCAGTAAAAATACGAAAAAATTGAATAGAAGTATTGAACATAAATTCTGACCATATTGCAATCGTTCGAAAATCGTTCAGTCTTAAAAGTAATTAGAAATATTTTTTTTGCAATTTTTCTATTATAAATTGAGGGACTGTTGTTTAAAAAGTTTTTAATTGTTCTGTAAGTAAAAGCTAACCAACATTACTACACACACTACTGCTCACTGCTGTAATTTATTTCTTGCTTTGCTGTATTAGTTATGTTACTTTTATCAGGCAATATACCAAAATAATATTTACTTATGCTTTTTAAATAAACAAAATGATGTTTTCGTCAACCAACTTTATATGATCTCACTTAACATGTGTTCGTTGATTTTATCTGTCTAATTAACGTTTATTTCGTACTTGTGTAATGTTTTTAAGTATTTTGCTTATAAAAAAATTATAAGGTAGGACTATGTTTTTGAAAGTAATCCAAAGTAAATATAAAGTTTTATATAAATTATTTTATCTGAGAAGCAGTTTAAGGCCCTGTTTTAAGTTATTACTTCTTGTTTTCTTTTTTTATTATATTCTCACTGCAGTCACCACGCATGCCGAGATTAAAAACTCGAGAAGCACTGTATATTAATGAATCAGTATTATGTGACCTATTAAAAATAAAATAATAAATATGTAATATACTGAGAATAGCGTTTTTTTCACATCAATATTCAGTTTTACGAAATCGCCTAAAAAATTCAAGATGGTACGTGAGCTTCCATAGGTGTCTTGACTATGAAGATTAGAATATTAGGACTTTGGGTTTTGCACTGCATCACAGCATCTTCAGATGTTCATCATGAAATACGGTTTAAAACACGAATGTTTTTAAGTTAGTAATTTAAAATTTTTCCAAGTAATTTACTTAATTTAAATTATGTACATCAAAATATATAACATTTAACTTGTTTGTGATAAAAATAATGTGTTTAAAAATTTTTGCTGTCTGATGAGTTCCGAAAATCGATCGAAACGTTGCAGAACTATGGACATATTTCCGATATTATTGTCTATGCCTAATTTATGTTCACCACAACTGTTATCCCATTCCTACATGTTTTTTTTTGTTCCCTAGTATCTACTTTATTATTTGAAGAAGTGTTTTGGCTTCATTTTAATCTTAATAAGATGATATTGAGTTATATCGAGTTAAATAGATCCACTTCTGAGTAGTTTTGAGCTCTTTTGAAGCGGAGTGGTGTAATTATATTTTAAGGATAAACTTTTATCATTAAATATTTTAAATTGCATGCATACTACAATGCATTATTTATTTTTTCTCATTCTAAGAGGTATAAGGGTACTTCGTATGTACATTAATTGTCTTTCTATGGCATTACACAAATTTACTTAAAATTATTTATTTTTTTGATAATTTACCAAAATTCTACCATTTAAAATAATTAGGTATTAATTAATTAATTAATCGCTGTCTTCATGCCTCCTTGACTTTTTCTTTTTGTGAGATCTTCTACTAGGGCTTCTAGACCTAGATTTATGTCTCTTTGATCTACTTCTTGATCTCTCTCTCCTATGAGATCTTTCCCTATCCCTTGATTTTTCATGTTCCCTTCGATTTGACTCTCTCTCCTTTGTTTTTTCTCGTGAATGTGACCTTACTGGTGAAGCTTCTTTTGTAGGAGGAGGGACAGTTATAAAAGGTGGAGGACCCATATTAACAGGTGGTATAGGAGCTGGCACAACAGGGGCAGGCCCAGGGGTTAATGCTTTAATTTCTGTTGGTTGCCATGCTGGATTAGGTTCAGTACCCCATTGACAGTCCTGTGTTGGTTCATAACCCCCATAGAAAGGCTCTGGTTCTGGATTGAAGCCAAATTCTGGTTGGAATTCTTCAAAGTTTCCTGAAGGTGGCGGTACTGTTAAATCTGGAAATCCTGGTTTTCTGCTGTATTCTCTTCTATCAGCTGTCATGACTTGAATGACATTTTCTTTTGGAGGTTCAGTTTTTCCTAAAGTGCCAGGAACTCGAGTTGCAGCTCCACCAATTACGTCAATTGCTCCAGTCATTCGTCTTCCAGGAGGAGGACCTGCTTTACGAATTCCTATAACACATAATTACAACAGAAACATTGAAAGTAATTGAGGATATATATCCTTTACCTGTGTAATTGCCTGAATATTTACTGTTATCATTTAATATGGGTACAGGCCCTCTTGGCATTCCTATTGAATTTAATGGTACCAGCCCAGACCCTGATTCATTTAAACGCATTCTCTTCTGTCTTTCGCAGTAGGCTCTCCAAGTATCTTCGTTAAATCCATAATTAAAGTAATCTGTTATATCTGCTCCTGGTTTCCGCCATGGTTTATCTTCTAAAGAATCTAAATTATATTCCACTGCAGGAACTCCGTTTATCATCCCAGGTTGATCAAATTCTTCAACAGAAAACTTTCCTGTTTGAGGTGCTTGTGGAATTTTGTCTCCTTTTGTCGTTGAAGTTAATAAACCACCTCTTTTTATATTTAAAGAGGTATATGCAGGACTGGTTTTAATATCACCAATAACTACATTAACATCATCGTCGCTATCCTCATCGTAATCACCCTCTTCTTTTTCGCTGCCTTCTTCACCATTCTGCTTTTCGACTTCACCATTATCTTTAGCTGCCTCTTCTTCGGTTGATTGCTCTGTATGTTCGGCATCCGTTTGATCGGCGTTATTTTGACTATTTTCATTTTCTTGGTCCTTCTTTTCTTCTTCATCTTGTTTTTCTTGACTTTCTTCGACAGCTTTTTCTGCTGTTTCTTGAGGCAAAATTTCAGAGTGATCTCCATACAACCATTTATCATCATTTTCAGCATCATCGGCCATTTTAATATTTTTAATAAATAATACTCAACGATTACTCTATTTTAAATAATTGTAATACTATAAAAACTGTGGTTATTTTTTAGATTTTCATTATATCTTTAAATTCTTATTTTTTAGTAATCCATAACTAGAAATAAACAGATTCCCACACTGAAAGAAACATAACCTCAAATTTAAGATAATGTCTCCACTATCCTACTCCTACGAGGCTGTGTCTCAACACTAGATTCTACTTGTTACTACTACAGTTTACTCAGTTTACCATTTATACACTAATCCTAAATATATACTTAGGTACCAAGGAGCCATAGGCATTCTTTGAGAAATGAAATGTAATAATTGCATATTTCTTTAATCTAACTAATCTTAAATATTTGTAACTTCAAAACTACCATAATCATTTTTAAATTGTCAAATGTATTATTACGACATTTTCTTTGTTTGGACATAAATTCCTGGTATTAAAATTTTTCAAGAACATATAAAATAGACTATGTACACTTGCTCACGTTGCGGGCGTCAAGTATATTATGCTGAAATAAAAAGTGCTGGTGGTAAAGTTTATCATTCGTTTTGTTATCAGTGTTGTAAGTAGAATTGCAAGTAAATAGTAAAATACGTAGGTTCATTTTTCAATAATTATAGCGTTTTATTAAAGATTGTTGTAAAAGACTTCTAGACTCTTGTACAGTTAACATATATAACGGAGAAATTTTTTGTAACGGCTGTTATAGGAATATTTTTAATCCCAGATTAAATCGTTACAAATTTCCGGAGCAAATAAAATCTACTAGATGCGTTAATTCAGGTATAATTTAGCTGCCAAAGTAAGATCTACTTTGCTAATTCATGTTGTTGTAGATTCTTCTGTAGGACACCTAACTTTAAAAAAATTACCTAATGAATCGCCATATTGCCGCAGCACAAAAGACAATTCCCCAAATTCACACCGTCTTTCCCCAATAAAATCTGAACATTGTTCACTAAACTCGTTCCAAGATTTTCTTAAAAGTAAAGGAAAAACTTTAAACAAGTAGACAGTCTTTATAATTCGTTTAGTTATATTAAATCAGAATTATACATTTGGGTTTAAAAAAGTTTGAGACAACAAAATCACAAGAGTAATAGTACAAAAAGGTTAGTACAAATTATTTTATTAAAATAATCTGTAGATTAAAATACATATAAAAAATACCTTATGGTGGAAGAACTGCAACAAAAAATGATTTCAAATTAATATTGCATATTAATCCACTATTAAGTAACTAACATTGTCATAGGATTTCATATACACTTGTACTATATTTTGGCCGCGGCTTCGCTTGCGTTGATGTTCTAAATATTTGTCTAAAGTCATGGATGACTACATAAAGCTAATTTTTGTATCCCTCGGGAACACCATTTTTTTTTCTGGATAAAAGGTACCATACGTCCTTTTCTGTACCACTGACAATGTGTCTAAAAAATTTCATGATGATTGATCGAATAGTTAAGGCGTGAAATCAACCACATAAAACTAATTGTTATATCCGTCAGATCAGTATTTTTTTCTGGATAAAACGTACCCTATGTAATACTTTTCTGTACCCCTGGCAACGTATATACAAAATTTCATGATGATCGATTGAATAGTTACGGCGTAAAATCGACCACATTGAACTAATTTTTCTATACCTCTGGATCAGTCTATTTTTCTAGATAAAAGGTAAAGTATGTCCCTTTCTGTGCCTCTTACAATGTGTACAAAATTTCGCAATGATCGATTGAGTAGTTAAGGCGAGAAATCGACTACATAAAACAAATTTTTCTATCTCTTGGGAACAGTTTTTTTTTCTAGATAAAAGGTGGTGTTATAGGCGAATGATGAGGATACCGTGGATAGAGAAGGTATTAGAAAGAATAGGAGAACGGAAGACTCTATGGAAGTCAATCAGAAATAGGCGAGATAGGTTAATAGGACACCTTCTCAGGCATAAAGGTCTAAGCAGAAACATATTAGACGCAGAAACGGGAGTTAGAAGGGGTAGAGGTAGACCTAGGTTAGATTACTGTTCGGAAATAGTTAAGGATGTGGGTTGTTCTAGTTTTAAGGAAATGCGAAGATTAGCTTAGGATAGGAAAGAGTGGAGGTACGTGTCTAACCAGTCTTAGGACTGACGATCTTATGATGATGAAAAGGTACCCTATGTGCTTTTCTGTACCCCTGACAAATTTCATGACGATCAATTGAATAGTTCCGGCGTGAAATCGACCACATTGAACTAATTTTTTTATCCTTCTGGATCAATCACTTTTTCTAGATAAAAGGCAAACTTTGTCCCTTTCTGTGCCCATGACAATGTGTCTACAAAATTTCATAATAATCGATAGAGTAGTTAAGGCGAAAAATCGACCACATAAAACTAATTTTTCCATCCTCGGAAACAGTTTTTTTTTTCTAAATAATAGGTGCTTTACTGAAAATGTGTGTACAAAATACTAAATATATGCATACAACAAATAGCCTACTTGGCAAGTTTTAGTTTATAGTATTTAGGTTATAAGATTTCGTACTTTGTAATTAGATTAAGGATTAACCAGCCTGCGAACAGGTATTTGCATATACCTCTGCAGGGTTGCAAGGAAATATGTATGTTTCTTTTGCACTGTATGCGTTTTTCTTTTTTTGTATACTCTGGTTATGAATAAATGAAATGAAATAAATGAAATGAAATGAAAATTTCATAATGATCGGTTGAGTAGTAGTTAAAGCCTACCTACAAACAAATAAACAAACAAACAAACCAATCACTATCGCATTTACAATACTAGTTAGGATATTAAAAGCTACATTTTTTTCTTAAAAAGTGCCAGATAAACGCAGGANAATAGTTATATCGAAAAAAAATATTCGAATTTAATTTAACATTTTAAATTTGATCATCCTTTCACACTTTAAACACGATCTTTCTTCATTTTTAGAACCAGTAGTGAATCATGTAGGAACTCTTTAACACACCACTGATGACCCTGGATTATGTCACCATCTTCAGATGTGTCTAATAAAGGGTGGATATGTAAACTGTGTTGTTCAAAATTTCGCCGTAGTAGCAAAGTTAAACAAATGAATAAAGGAAAAGCGAAGAACGATCCAAACATTTTGTTCCAAAGTACAATTTCCAGCAAATCGGTAAATGACTTAAACCCGTTTAGCGTATCAGATAATAGAGTTAATTCAGACTATTCAAAGAAGGCACAAAAAGCTAAAACATTTTCCCTCTTCTGTCCAAAATATTATAACTGCGTTGACGTCAGAAACACGTATGGTGGTTCGGCTCTAGAAGGTGGAACTAGTATTGACAAAAAATTGTGTGGAAGTTTGGGTTGGTTTTTGTTTCCAAACAAGTCTCAAATTCAGAACGAAGTCCAATCGAAGAGGACCTCACCTATTACAAACAACACTTGTGACACTGTAATATCCAAAAATACGTCAGAAATCCATCAAAATTGGGAAACACATAAAAATCCATTTGGCATAGAATGTAGAGAAGGGTCTTTAATTTCTAAAGGTCCAAATGATTTACCAGTAAGTGTTAGAGAACAATTTAATGACGATCGCGTTATGAAATGTGGATTTCCATGCAAATTTTCGCCTGAAACTACTAAAATAAGTTTTCCACAGCATACAATTCCAGCAAAAGATGCATGTTTGAGTAATTTTAGTACAAATTGTGGCCTGAATTCACTTCCTGCTGCAAGAGAAATTGTAGGTGATCCAAAAAGACAAATAAACGGATTTCATCCATTTAATAGATCTCCTACACTAAAACAGGGGCTTAACAATACAAATATGAGAGGAACGACGAAATTATATGACTATCAGGAATTAGACATGAACAATTGTATGAATGGAGATGCTAATATAAACGGAGATAAACAGATAAAAAATGAATATGGTGAAAATGGTACAAATCCAGACACAAAAGTTGGAGATATCGTTTTCAAAGAACGTGTGCCTGAAGATCTCAAAAACAAAGATATTTTCAATTATCCAGCTGATGATACTTGTGAATTTTCTCAAGTGTTTGAAAACGATGGAAGTGCCTTTGGTCGTTTTGCGTTGTTTTCGAGACTTTGTGACAAGTACAAAACCATAAATAGGCGCTTTACTTTAAAAAGGTGAGTGATAATAAAATTACTTATGGTATATGTATATCCAATTCGTTAAAATTATTCTTATAGTTAAATTACTTGTAGTTATTGTTTTATAAGTAGATAAATCAATATGTGGTCTAAATCGGTTATAACGAACACGAATGTTGTTTATTATAGCCGGGTCATTGTTATAGGCGATTTTTATTTTTTTAGGTAATTAAAAAAATCGTCAACTTTTATAAAATAACATTTAGAAATGCATAAATTATACATAAAAATAAATCTTATTTCGAAGGAAAGCCGTAAAAAGTAGATATTAAATAGATACTCTAATTTTAAATATATTTATATAAAATGCTAATGTGAGTACGTAAAGGCAGGGTTTTCTCTATCACCACCAACTCCTATCAACTTCCCGTTGGGGTGGTAAATACCCCTTAGTCTCCTACTGAAAGTAAGGGAGTTTGGTCGAGGTGGGTGGTTGTGGGTGGCGAAAATGTGAAAAAATATACATCTGTCCTTTCCTAACTTATGAGACCTTTTGGAAAGTTCTAAAAATTTCTGAAATGATCCAGAAAACTCCAGAATGTGTACAACTGTTACAATCGATCTAGAATATTCTAAAAATTTCTGGAATGATCTAGAAAGTTCCAAATTTCCGCAATTTATTAACAAGGATTTCTAGAATTTTCTAGATTTTGTCCAAATATTCTAGAATATTCTAAACGAAATTGTTTGACGCCTAAAATAATTTACATGAACAGTTAGTTGTGTTTAAATGGTTTTGATGGTGATACTAAAATGAGATTCTTGAAAAGAAAAAGTTTATATTATGTAGGTACCTAATACACGGCTACGGCATCTTTATTAAGGGATTAAGTCTAATAATTGTGCATAAATAATAACTTTTTTAAATTTTTGTTTTAAGTCTCAATAATTATTAGTATTAATAATTGTTTCAATGGTAGTCAGGTTTTTGAAATAATTTTTCAAAGCCTACTATTCACATACGAGTGGCTACGAAGTTTACCCAAGTTTTTATAATTTTCTCTATTATTTGTTATCTGAGCATATGACAATTATACATTTTCGAAATCACAAAAACTGGGGCATTTCAAATACCTAAAAATAAAAATGTATGTAGGGTGTTCCCTTTAAAAGTATATATTTCTTCTAAAATTCTAGTGGCACAATTTAAATCACCGTAAAAAAGTTTCATAAACTATTATTTTCAATTTTCAAAATATCATTACTTAGGAAGATCAATCGAATCGAATCAGGAAATCGATTTTGGAAATTAACATTTCATAACATAACGTAGAAATATATTAAAAAAAAAATATTTAGTTTAT